TGTTTATAATAATTAATCATTAATTCAAGAATCATTGATCCACTTGTATAAGTATTTGATGATTGATCTTTTGGATATAAAATACTACATCCAATACAAATACCTAAATTAGCTGCATTCATTTTATTTTCTGATGAATATTCTGCAACACGTGTTAAAAAACGAACTAAATAACTAAAATAAACAAATCATATCAAAGATTAAACAAAAGAAAATTGAAAACGAACTTGAGATTTTCATAATGAATTTTCGGTAATTGTTTTAATAATTGAGAAATTCTTTCAAGACGTAATTGTTCATTATTTAATTGTGGAATTTGATTCCATTGTTCAAAAAGTGTTGATGTAAGTAAACAATTAGGAAGTCCTCTTAAATATTGTTTTAAAGTATTTGCAGGAACATGTGGATCATAACCAAGTTCATTTAAAGTTGAACTTCGTTCAATTAATTGTAAATCAAGTTCCGAAACAAATTTCTTTTGTTTATTATGTGCAGGTGCAATACGAAAAAGACCTTCTTCACGAAGAGAATTTTCTAATAAACGAATGGAAATTTCAATTGGATAAGCAATAATTGTATCACAACGTTTTGAACAATGTTTTATTAAATCTAAATGAAATGATGGAGTTAAATCATCATCTTCTAATCTTTGTTCAATTATTGGAATTCTTGATGATAAATGTTTACAAATTTCATTATAAAAATGATTTTGTTCGAATAAATATTGAGAAAATAGATTTTGAGTAATGAAATGTTCTTCACTTGCAATTTTATAAATTTCAGTAACATAAATATCACGTGTTAATGTTCGTGTTTGTTCACATTCATTTCGAATATCTTCTAATTCAGTAGAACGTTCATCATAATTTGCTAATTGATAACGATCAGATCGAGTTTGAAATTTTTTTAAATTCGTATCGGCGGTTTCTAAACGTCTTTGAGCTTTTTCATAATTTTCTTTCACTTCAGTCATTGTTTGACGAATATTTGACTAAAATCAAATATAATCTTTGGTGAATTAAAAGAAATATTGACAAACTTGTTTATCTTTTGCTTGTTCGATGATTTTTTTTATTTGTTCAAGAGATTCTTTTCGTTTTGAATCGATAAAATCATGAATTTGAACTAATTCATCAATAGTTCGATTTAAAATTGATGGAGCACCATTTGAACCATAAGGAGAACGATAATTTTTTCCAACTTCACTTGAACGAAAATCTTTAAATGATTTGGAAATTTCATTATCAAAACTTTTATTTAACTAAAATAAAAAATAATTTTATTTCGAAAAAAAACAAATATTCTCAAAATGAAAATCTTACAAAATCTTTATCTGTTTTATAAACATCAGATAAAATTTTACAAGCATCTCGAATATATCGAACTCGATTGTAACAATCTGGAACATCATCACTCCTATCAACAAATAATACTTTTCAAATTAAAATTCAATGAATTTTACTTTGTTCCCGAGATAAATGGACGAAATTTATTCATCTAAAAACAATAGAATTTACAATTTCCTTTTCTATTTAATATCAATATTAGAAATCACATTGATTTGATTTCTTTTCTTTTCATTTCAACTGAAAATCTATTTGATTAAAATCAATCAATCAATATTTTCAAAATAAAATTTTTCCAAATGATTTGTTCATTTTGATTAATTTTAATTGATCTTTTTTTTTAAAAAACTTTTTTTATCTAAGAAAATTACTAAATTACATTTTCAACAGATGTCGCTAATTTACAAATTTGATTCAATCAAGAAGAAATCTTTTCATCGACTTCTCTGATTGTTTTTTTTCTTGTTATTTAATGAAATTTGAATGAAACCTCAAAAAACAATTGTATTTTTTCGTATGTCTTTCATTTCTCATTTGATTTCAAATGAATGACACAACAATTGAGAGTTCTTCGAAAGATCAAAGTAATTTCAATGAAAAATCATTCGAAGATCCCAATTGGACTATTCAACGAGAAATTTCAATTACTATTGAGTATTTTTATCGATCTAATCTTTTAATCTAAAGTTTATTTCTTTTCATTTTTAGTAAATCAATCGAAGATTCCAAATCAATATGTTTAAAACATAAACTTAAGATTTTTTTAGTCATTTTTCTTTTAATTTTAATTATTTTATTGATATTAATACCAACTCTAATATATTTTCTCCATCCACGTTATATTTCATCATCGAAATAAATTATATTGACTTGTATTTTCAAGTTTAACCTGACAAAATAGGAATACAATCAAGCGTCGTTTCAGTTCGTTTAACACGATATATTGATATACGTAATGAGAATATTTCAGACGGAGAAAAGTAAATTGTTCGATATAAGACGTTTTACAAATGAAATAGTGTCTGAATTTATCATACGGTAATCAATATAGTCTGCGAAAAATGTTTAAAAAAAACACACTTAGTTTAAAAAGTATATTTTCATTAAATGTCGTTCATCAAAGTTACTTTGACATTTCAAAGATATTCAGAAAATCTTTATCAATTGAACTTCAACTGGCATAAAAATAAGTTTATTTATCTTATTTAGAATATGATGTTTGTATTAAATTCCCTGTTTTTTTTTCTTAAGTTAATCTTAAATTCAATAAGAATGAGATGAACAAACAATAATCAATGTGAACAGTCATCAACATATTTTATTTAAGTCTTAGGTACTTCAAGTATTCTATTTATATGTATAAAATACTTATCATTCGAACAATTATATATGATACAAGGTCTTTTTTTAACGAGCATATTATTCATAATCAGTCGAATATAATTAAATGATTGTACTTTGTACTTTCCACAAACTCAAAAATTTGAAAAAAGAAACCGTGTATAATTGACACTTTCAGAACGTTTTTCAATGCTACAAATCTCACTTTTTCCACAATGTTAATAGAATCTTTTATACAAACATTTTTCTACTAAGATATTTACATAAAAAATAACTAAGTTACAAATATTTAAAGATAAATCAATGACTTTTGTGCAAAGTACACGTATGGACAAACATATTTGAATAAATGTCTATTGTGTTATTTTGTATAAAAAAAATCTTTTTATTTGTTTAAAAGATATATTACAGAAAAAAAAAGTGAATAATACTAAAATGAAAACAAATTCATTAGAAAAAAAAAATTAATCAAGAAAAGAATCAAGTGATATTGTATCANCAAGAACTAAAGTCTCCGAATTTCAAAAACATGAAGAATTAACAAAGAAACAGTAAATATTCTGGAATGAAAATAAGTTTCACGATTTTCATTTGATTTTTAAAGAACAAAAGAAATTGGTGAAACATCGAAAGCAATTTTAGAGAAAAAGACTCATAAATCTTCAAATCCTCGTTCATCTTTATCAACATTGAATAAAAGTAAAATAAGACCTGGATCAAATCAAGAAGAACATTCAAATTCTACATCTAATACTCAACTATCATCTTTTGAAAGACCATTAAGGTTAAAAATCTTTTTTCTCATTATTTTCTTTTCATATGAAATTATAGAGAAAGACTTATTCATCTATTAGCTGCAAGAACTTATAAAAAACCTGATCTAATCGCTCGATTGAAAACTGGTTTGTTTATTTATTTGAATTTTCTCAATAAGAAATTAAATTTGTTAATGATAAATAGAAGGAGGAATTCGTGATGAAGATAAAGATCAATTAGATGTAATTTTATCATCAATTTCTACTCAATTAAAAACAGGAGAATATATTCTTCAAAAACATCTTTTAACAACTGGTGAAATCAATTATGATTGGCCTTTTTATCCAAAAGGAGAAGCGAATATTGTTCGAAAGTATTTATTTCATCTTTTTTCGTTCATTTCAATTCTTTCTTTCTTTTTTTTTTCTAAAGAAAAATCAAAGAAGCTCAAATGAATTCAGCAAGATCAACTCTAACTAAAACAAATAATGAAGTAAAACAAAAAAAATTTGATTTAACAAAATGATTTTCCTTTTGAAAAAAAAAAACAAAAGGTTCCATCAAGTTCGAATTCGAAACCTTTGATATCAAATTCAATTTCATCAATAAAAAGCAAATCAACAGTGAATAATGAAAAAACATCAGTGGAAAGTGATGATGTCATACAAAATCCTCTTAGTGATGAAAAAATGCAACAATGTAACAATAAAAATGTTTTTCAAAATCCAAAATGATTTTTTTTAAAATTTTAGTATCGGATATGTTGGATAAATTAACAAATGCTTTATCAGATAATGAGAAATCACATGAACAGTAAATGAAAATTATTTAGAAAATATTTTTTTTTATATAAAAATCATTTTAGTTTGAAAAATGAATTTGATTTAATTGATGAAAATGATTTGGATGAAGTTGAAAAAGAATATCATCGTCTTGTTCCGGAATATAATCAATTAATCGATTATTTAAATGAAATTTCACAGAAATTTGCTGTTCTTCAACAACAATTCACTGATGATCAAGTTTGTTTTTCTTTCTATTGATAATTTTGGTTTTTTTTCTTTAAAATTCATTTCAGAATCATGAAAAAGCGAAGAAAATCGTTGAAGAATTCTTTAAATGTGAAACTAATGATGGATTTCTCAATAAACGTCAACGTGTTTATCAATTACATCACAAATTAAATCATTTACAAAAACTTTTACAAAAACCTTCTCCCTNCATCAAAATGTCTATGAAATTCTTTCCGAAGAAATGAAAAATCAACATGTTGAACCAAGTTTATTAGAGTGGCTTGAAAAAAATACTCAACTCATATAATTTTTCATAAAAATCTACTAAAAGTCAATAAAAACATCTTTTCATTTTTTTTTCATCTTATCTTGTGATCCAGTTTTGAGAAAAGTTTCTTTCTTTTTATATTTTAGATCTTATGAAATAAAATTTTAAGTACAAAGATATTTCACGCATTTTAGAGAATAAAGTAGATCGTGGGTATCTCAATTGTTTAATTATATTTTAAAAAATTTTTTCATTTGAAATTGTGTTCTATTTTGAAAAACCTTTGACGTGATTGTCAAGGAGAAAAGACTTTATATAGTCAAAATAATGGAGATTGTTCTAGTTCTTTTTTATTCGTTCAAATTTTCAAAAAGTTAAAATGATCTTAGAAAGTTATCGTGACAATAAAAGTTTTTATTAAAGATAAACGAATAATGCATGATAAATGTTTCGTCGATTAAATCTCAAATTAAATTACTTCGTTCATATAAGAAAATTTTCTCGAAAAATGTCAAATAAATCTATTCGAATTGGTTTATGTCAACTGAACAGTCGTGATGATAAAGAAGAAAACTTTCAAATTGGACAAAAATTAATTCGTGAAGCGAAACAACAAGATGCCAAAGTTTGTTTTTCAACGAAAGAAAGAAAGAAAGAAATGAATTCAAAGTATTCTTTTAGATCGTCTTTTTTCCCGAAGCATTTGATTATATTTGTGATTCGAAAACAGCAACGATTGAGAAAGCTGAACCAATCGATGGTCCAATTATTACTCGGTATCGAAATTTAGCCAAAGAAAATCAGTTATGGCTTTCACTTGGTGGTTTTCATCAACAAGTTTGTTTTGCTTTTTCATTTTTCTTTTTAAAATCATTTTACTTTTCAGTCGAAAGATAAAAATCGAATATTGAATAGTCATTTAATGATCAATGATCAAGGTGATATTGTTGGTCATTATTCGAAAATTCATCTATTTGATGTTCAAGCTGGTTCTTTAAATATTCGAGAATCGGATTATACACAACCTGGTTCAACAATTATAAGTCCAATTGAAACACCATTGGGAAGAATTGCTCTTGGAATTGTTCGTTTTCATTGCACAACAATTTATTCGAACATACTCTTCTCTACTTTTAGTGCTATGATCTTCGTTTTGTTGAATTTGCTCGTTTTTTAACATCGTCACCGACACACGGTGCTCAAATTTTAACTTATCCGAGTGCATTTACTAAACATACTGGAGAGGCTCATTGGGAAGTAAGTTTCAGATATATTCATTTACTCTATCGATTGGAATTTCGATTTCTCATAGATTCTACTTCGTGCACGTGCGATTGAAAATCAATGTTTTGTCATTGCAGCTGCTCAAGTTGGTTCACATACGAGTAAACGGGAATCGTATGGACATTCAATGGTTTGTTTGAATAATTCTTTCTTCTAAAACGAAAAACTTCCTTTTTTTCTCCAATAGGTAGTCGATCCCTGGGGAAAAGTTTTATTGGATATGGGTTTAGAATATCCATCAGTTCGCACAGTTGATCTTGATCTTGAACGTATCAGAGAAGTGAGAGATCGAATGCCAATTTTGGAACATCGCCGACAAGATTTATATTCGTTAACATCACCAACGAATATGAGTAGTATGAGAACTTTTTTGTGAATAATAATTAAATAATATCTTCTGTTTCTTTTTTCAGTACGAATTGATAGCAAAGACGATGAGAAAATCTCTTGGGGACAATTGCAGATAACAGCAGGGCAAGTATTTTTTCGCTCAAGATTAAGTATGGCTCTAGTCAATAGAAAACCTGTTGTACCCGGACGTATGTCACACTATATATCGTATGAATATGTCAAATATTCTAATCTATTTAATCAGATATTCTTGTATCACCTATTCGTTGTGTCGAACGATTTTCTCAATTGACTTCGGAGGAAATCGACGACTTATTTTTAAGTACACAATTGATTGCAAAACGTATTGAGGATTTCTTCCAAGGAAAATCATTAAGTATTGCAATACAAGATGGAGAATACGCTGGACAAACAGTGAAAGTAATTACTTTTACTTGAGTAGAGTTTCTATTTAGAAGAAAAATTAATTTTCTTTGTTAGCATGTTCATGTTCATATTCTTCCACGAGTACCCGGTGATTTCGAAGATAATGATACGATTTATCATGAGGTACAGTTTTCTTCAACAAAATGTGTGTATACTTGTTTTTATTTTTATTTTAGTTGGCTCATCATGATAAAAAACAGAAAGATTGGAGACAAGAACAGGAAATGATTGATGAAGCAAAAACTCTTAGAAAACTATTCTATTCCGACAAACAATAATTGTTTTCATTCTATTTTGAACTATCTTTTACTTTTATCGAAAAATATCCAAGATTTTTTTATGTAAGACAAACATAAATAGAATAAAAGATCAATACTCTGTCTATCTCTGTCACTATTCAGAACAATCTCCTTCCTTCTACATGACCCCTCGTTCGATTTTCCAATCCATTCATTGAAAAGACAAAATATGTATAGAATATCGCTCGACAAAGAAATGCTAAGAAACAGTGTATAAGATTTATGTTAAAGAGTAAACGTCGTAAATTTTCTACTACGAGAAAATACTATTTCAAAACACTTCACATAATTAAAAGCGAACTAATGTACGTAAAGATTGAGCAGATTTCATCCTTTTATGAATTAAATAAGAGCATAACACAATTCTTCTTATCTGTTAAGAAAGGTCATTATTCTAAATTTATTTCTCAATGTTATAATGAATAGCAAGTCTAGAGGAGAATGTTACACGGATTTCCTCCAAAGCATCTTTGAAGTTTTCTGGTAAATCGTTGATCAACAATATAAATAGTAAAATAATTGAAACGAAACTCATAGATAGAAGTAATAGAAAACTTTTACCAACAATATCATTATAGATTTGCTCTTCTGGTGCAAAATGATTTCTGCTAGTAGTCGCTACAAAATAGTTCGTTTGGAATAAGTGTCATTAAATTTTTTCTGATTTCTCTCTTGCGAATATAAATTCAATCTGTGATTTTAAATATCTTTCTATTTTGAATAATATTCTACTTTACTAGAAAATCATGCTGAGCTATAGAATATTTTATGTTATTCAACCTTCTATAATCAAATGATATTACAAAACGCTAGTGTATATTTACATACTGTGCTTTGAGTACAATACTTTATAGCAAATACAAAAAATTCTTTGCTTTATTTGTTAAAACTTTTTCTCCTAGTTCACGACAGCAAGACAAGATAAAATTTCATACTGTAGAAATGAAAAATAAATATCATTTTTGGTCTTGAATGGAAATAAATATATGGGAATTCAGCTGGGAACGAAGGTAGTGACAACTACAAAATGTTCTTTTATTGTTTCATATCACGGACAATATCGAGTCATTTCTGCAACAGTACATAAAGTTTCACAGCACGCTTCAGTTAATAGCTTTCGACGCGAAAATCTACGGAAACGTTTTGAGCTTGGTCGCTTCGACTTCTGCGGCCTGACAACTTCGCAGGCAATACTAACCATTTGTAAGAGATAAGTACCACATGCATGATAAGCCCGATGTAGATCACAGTCTTCCATTTTATATAGTTTTCCACGAATTTCAACGCTTTCGCCTTCTTTCAATAGAGTTCCATCATGATTTATAGTGCAGTTCCGAACAATACTAGAAGATGCCACCGCTTGACTCCAGATGTTTTGATTAAATACAAGCAATGTCATTAGAAGAAGCGTGGGAGAGAGCATGGCAATGATAATCGAAGGAACGGAGGTTGATATGGTTAAAAAGTGAACTGAAATAGAGGTGTTATATATTTAGGTAAAAAAAGAAGTATATATGCAGGGAAAATGCAGTGGAGAAAATTATGCATTGTGAAAGATGAATTTTCATTATTGTTATTGATGATAAGTCATCAAGAGATTTTCTCATTCTAATAACGTCAAACTTCAACAAACTAATAATGAAATTCTTGTATCATCTGTCTGCGTCACCACAGAGCGAAAGAAATGCCCTTATGCCTGAATATAAGTATCGTTGGAAAAAGGATGTAGAGAAAATCATAAAATATGTTTCTCCATTGAAAAGTTAATTATTTTTTTATACTATTCGTTATGTTTGACTAACTAGAATAATAGACTTTGAGTTGCTATTTACAGATACGGTTAACATGAGAGAAATAATCATACTGAATAAAACTACTGCTTATGTTAATCATTTGAGTGTTAACATCAACGTTTCTCTTAATACATTAGGATTTAGTTATTTTTAAGCTCAAGTGTCATATTGTTTAGTACGGAAACTATGAGATTAATTACTGATAGAAACAGGTACGAATATAGGTGAATGAAAATGTTATTAGGAATACTGATTTTCATACTAAAAAATTCGGAAGCCCGCACAGTCAGAATCCAGGAAGATTTCAAATGAATAATTTGTGTTTTTTCTCTCACACGGAGGTCATTTATCATCAAGCTTTGCAGTTTGAAAGCATGATGAACTGTATAAATGAAAAAGATAAACTATATTTTTCAATATTAATGATCACATTGCTTTTTAACAAAAAACGTTTGCCTAAAATGAACGAGTTTGATTCGATAGTTCGTTCGACAAAGAGTGTTAATAAGCTTCAGTGCAAAAGAACAAATAATTCAATGGACTTTGTATTTCAGTTTAGATAACTTCAGTTGACGTGAGATTTAGTAAACTATCGTAAAATAAGACGTGGATATAATAGACAACGCACTATTCACAGATAATTGGTTTTAATTTGCTTACAAATGCAGTAATGGTGAATAGTCTTTAAATACCCACTTTTAAAAACAAAAATGTACAATATCGCTAACTTACAAATGTAGTAACTGAAATAAAATAAAAAATACTCTGTGGTGGAGTGAGCTCATAGTTTGAGCTTATTTTTCTTGAAATAATGAATGTTTCCAAATATTCACTGAATTGTCGTCCGCGTACACACACAGTATTTCTAAATATACAGATACACTAAAAGAATCTGAAATAAACGATGATTAATTTTATGAGATACCACAGACAAAATCCATGTAATTTAAGAACAAATTCGCATTAAAATAACAGATTAAAGGTTAAGCTCAAAATATGTTACCGGCTATAATAAAAAACTGCTCGCATCTGCAGGTCAATTGGTTGACTAAATAGTAAACAAAATAAATGAAGAATTTTATCAGTTCAATCATTAACTATTAAGTTAAGGGATTCAAATCCAGAATTTTGGAAACACAGTGACTGTATTGAAAAATCTATTGTGGTTAAATGCAACTATCAAGTCTAACACTGGAGCAAATGAAATGGTAGGACATTTCTTATCATATGTATTTAAAAAAGTAGTTTGGCTATATAATCTGTAATACATTACTGAATGGCGACTTTCTCACATCTAATGATAGTATGTATCGGCAGTAGCACAATTCACTTCAAAGAAAAAGCAAACAGATATCTGTATGAAATTGTTCGAATACATACCGTTCTTATCATTTAAACAAAACGCCAACTTGCTAAATGAACTTTTCGTATTTGTTTTTAATACTGAGTTCTCTTATCGTTTTCTGAAAATAAAACTCAGCTGACAATGGCAAATTTTTCTCCAGACATTTATCTTTCAAATGAATTGCCTTTTTTTACACATTTATGAATGCTATTTCGCGGCTAAATATAAGCTCTTTGAGGATCGAAAATATTTCCCGTTGAGAAAAAGATATCGAGATTGACACAGTTGAAAATAATTATATGCATCATTTCCTGGTCTCACCTTTCGACGATCTTATTTTCAGCAGTGATCATAATGATCCATCTATTGTTAATATTAAAAACTACAGTCCATTCGTCATTTAGATTAAAGCTATGGTCTTAATAATAAACCTGTGTCTTGTATCTATCATTTCTTTTACAAATTTTTAGAGAGGGACCTCCTACTATATCCTCTTATAAAATCGATACTTTTGTAGATGTATATTAATGAGTACCACTTATAATAGTAGCGTATTCCCAATAGAGCATGAGGGGATGGCGTCCGCTCACCAAACATTTTCGCACTGTCATCGATAATTTTATTACAAGTAAATCTTTAGGGCAATATGTGCTTCACCGATTCATTATAAAAGGTTGCATTTCCCTCAAATTTCGAAAGAAATCCTACAAAAGTGAAGAAAGTTTTCGAAATCTTTCCGAAAATTCAGCAGAATTTTTTACCAAATATTCGCATAGATATTTTTTATCCTTGAGCAGATTCTTGCTCTTTAAAATCCATAAGTCTGATTTCATGAATGATTTGTTTTCGTTATGAGTTTATAAAATAGTTTTGCACCAATAACTAAGCACTCGTGATAAAAATAGATAGCATATCCGTATGATACGTTTTATGATCCTTTTCAAAACTGGTACAGCGACCTAATCTCTCCCGATAATGTTTTCACGCCGTTGGGAAGAGTAGAACAACATTAATTAGTGTGAACTTAAAATGCTGACAGATAGGAGAGACAAAAAAAATTCATTGATATATATTAAACAGGGGTCTTCTAATGTGTCTTTCGCGAACTTTATTTGAGATGGGTCGTTTAATTCGTCTAGAACTTTATGCTAGCATAGCAATACAAAAAATAGGAGTTAGAATGCAGATTAAAAAACCGCGTTGACCGCTTTGTTTCAGTATACGTATTTGATTTCAAATATTATCCTAATCAAAAAATGAATCTTAATGGATTCTACATGCTCAGAATATAATTTGGTTGCTTCAAATACTTTCTTCTGTTCAGTTATAACAAAGAGATGTCTTTTCTTCTATATATCTTCAAAAATCATGCTTCAAAACTATTCGCAGTGATCTATTAAAACAACGCTGACGTCACAATTATTTCAATTCATGTAGTCAGTAAGGTTGTCTGAAACAGCCATATGCGTTCTTATTTAACACAGAATTAAATCTATGACTCGTGTGCAACGGAAATAATTATTTCCTCAGTATGTTGAACATCAGGAACCGCAGAAAAATTGTTCTATTGCCATCCGTTTTTTCTGATTCGATTTGTCGCTAAGATGGCATTTATGAGCTAGAAGCGGTTCTGCTTTTCTCTGAATGTCATATTTATTGCATATATATGTTGTAGACAGAATCGGAATTCTAATTCTGTCTGGGCAAATTCCGAATTTGTCTGTATTCCGATTCTGCCTACAACATATACATACAGTCATGCGCGGCGCAAGCTCCATCTTGGAGGAGAGACATTAAAATTGTGAAATGCATAGCAGTGGCCATTGTGACAGCACGAGAGAAAACTATAGTTTTTCAATTATTTTTTCGATAATTCTGGAAATTCATGCAAAATATTTGAAAAATATTGTGAAAAATTTTAAAATATTTCTGAGAAGTCTCTACGAAGATTTTCTGAAAATAATTAAAAAAATCGAAGAAATCATTGAAAAACAATGATTATCATATAAGAATACCATTCTCTCACCCACAAAAGGTACACTTTACACCGTGCAACGCGTTCGACACAGATAAATTATCGGTGTGAAGTTAGCACCATTTAACGCTAGCACCATTTAAGATTCAAATCGATTCGCTACACAATACACCAATCAAATCACACCAATACTAAAAACACCATAATGGTGGTCATAGATTGGACTATGGATTCCGTAGCAACCAAACAAGCTACATTCACGAATCAAACCTAGCACCATGTAACGATCGCACTGTAACCAGATATTATATGAAATCCGGTGGCTAAAAAAACAATCAGATGTCTTCACGACCACAGTAACATTCGCGATCAGATGCAGCTGTTCCGAAGCCCCAGAAAACGTGCTAAAGAGCGGCGTTCTCTCTTTGATCACGTCGGCCCAATCACATCGGACCCAATATCCGTCTAATTTTCTTCGACGAAACGTTTTCCGGCGGTTTGAAGGTAATCCAATCGATGCAGAATCGGATTCTGAGTGAAATGCAATAGTTCCGAAGCACCGGAAAACGTTCTGGAGAGCGGCGTTCTCTCTTTGATCACGTACGCCCAATCATTTTGGACCCAATATCCGGCCATTGTTTTTGGAAGGATCGTTTTCCGGCGGTTTAAAACTAGTGCAATCGATGCAGAATCGGATTCTGAATGAAATGCAATAGTTCCGAAGGACCGGAAAACGTTCTGGAGAGCGGCGTTCTCTCTTTGATCACGTCGGCCCAATCACATTGGACTCAATATCCGGCCATTTTTTTCGCACGAAACGTTTTCCGGCGGTTTAAAACTAGTGCAATCGATGCAGAATCGGATTCTGAATGAAATGCAATAGTTCCGAAGCACCGGAAAACATTCGGGAGAGCGGCGTTCTCTCTTTGATCACGTCGGCCCAATCACATTGGACCCAATATCCGGCCATTTTTTTCGCACGAAACGTTTTCCGGCGGTTTAAAAGTAGTGCAATCGATGCAGAATCGAATTCTGAATGAAATGCAATAGTTCCGAAGCACCGGAAAACATTCGGGAGAGCGGCGTTCTCTCTTTGATCACGTCGGCCCGGTCACATTGGACCCAATATCCGTCGAATTTTTTTCGACGAAACGTTTTCCGGCGATTAGAAGGTGTTCGAATGGATACACAGTGAAATTCTGCGTCGAATGGAGCTGTTTCGAATTACCGGAAAACGTTTGGGAAGAAGATGATCTTTTCTAATTCATATTTGGGATTAGAATGAGTGATGCGTGTATACTCTGATTTTTATTTTTTCACTCCTTATGGAGTGAAGTATCACGAATGTGTTCAGTGACGGTTTAGGGTGTGTTTGTGGCGTTCGGGTTTTTTTGGAGTTGCAAAATTTTGTTTTTGAATAGCAATTGTTATGTTGATTGAGTTGTGTTCTGGTGGTGTGGAATGGAACGTATATTGTCGGTCGGGCGTAATTGTTGAAAGGAGATGATCGCTGAATGAATGTCATTGTTGATTGTTCTGTGTTGACCTTGTTGTAAGCGGACGATAGAAGAATGAACATTGGTGACGGAAGAAAGATATAAATTGTCGTGTTAGTGATCAGTCGTCACATTCTTCGATTATCAGTTTGTTTCGGTTTCAATATGTTGAAGTGTGGTGTTTTTGTCTTGATTTATGTGGTGATGGTTGTGGGTGTTTTGGGAAGGGTGAGTGTTTGTATGTTTGTTTCAGAAAACAAAAGCGTTTTGTTTTTAGCCGGTGGAATTCAATTCGTTGGAGGAGTTTGAGGCGGTTAGCGTTGTGGATAAGGTCGGGGTGAGTGGCAGTGTTGTTAGGGCTGATGGTGCGGGTAATGGTGTCAAGGTAACTGGTGGTCATCAAACGAGCGAATGGGTGTTCAAGGTGGTAATGTTGGTGGTTAGTGTATTTTGTTCCGGTGCATTTGTTTGCTCCTGTTGGTGTGGAATTAAGTGTATACGAAATGGGTGCAGTTGTAAAGTATGTTCGTTTCTGTGTTTTAATATTTTTTACTTTGATTTTTTTTCTTTAGAGAGCTTGGTTCACTCCGAAGTCAATGGACGAGTATCGTCGTCGAAAGGAAGCGAAAGGTAGGCTTTTGTTACTTATACATATATATTGAAAGGCTTTATTTTTTAGAAGAAGCATTTGAAATTAAAATGGGCTTTGGACAACAGCGAGAATGACAGAGTTAGTTTTTTCTGTAAATATTTTTTTGTTTGTTTTTCTAAATTAATAAATTATTTGAAAAGTTGTATCCATTCGTTTATTGACTTGATCAATGAATCAACGGGAAAAGAAATATTATTTTGAAGTTCAATGCACGGCAGTTATGTGCAATGATCTGCTTTAGACTGATATGAATGTGTGTATGAGTATCGTTTCTCTTGCTGAGTTTGACTAGACGACTTTGTTTTCGTTATATGATACATGTGTAGAGAAATGAACATGTTATTTTATTGAAAAAGCTCAAAAGAGAAATATGATGATGGGAGAAAATGTTATGTGTGCGTTTTAGAATATCGAACACATACACCCTTATGGGGATCGGATGCTACTGACGAAGTAAATCTATGTATAACTACACAAAAGCATATCTCTACATTATGTTCGTAAAAATTATTATAATGCAGTGTTAAACGTGTATTGAATCTCTCTCTAATCGATTCAGTCGCTTTTGCATGTCGTCGTTTTGCTTAGCTTCTTGACGTTTGTAAACCTTCAAGATTGACAATATAACAGTGGATAACAGTAGAGAGAGTAACAATGCAAATATGTTACCGAATTCTTCGTATAATTTTTGCATAAATGATCGTTCCGAATCTATATCATGTTTAATATTTGCAAAAGTAAGTTTAGATGCAGTTTTGTATATAGAAACAAGTCTAGTAGTAATTTCAGAAAGTGGAATGGTAGAGATGGATCGTTGTCTTTTGTGTCGATTTTGTTTAGGCTTCAATATGATATTAATATCAATACATTTTGTTGGTGGCAAACGAATCGTCGAGCATTGAATTGGTCGCCCGCAAGGCAACTGTACAATTAATGGGTATGTAGCGAATTGTTTATCTGTTGATGGTGATAGAAATGAATGCATATTACAATTAGATAATTGATTAGGTGAATAAATGTACCATATATTGTTTACAATATTCAGTATACCGATTTGATTATGTTTTGATTCAACAACATCACAGCTGCTGCTTTTCATATCCAATTCAGTATCGATCAATTCGTTCAGACAAGGTGTCGATGATAAAGGAATCGTTAATGGATATTCACGACAATATATGACTGAGGACAATATGCAATTGGTCGATAGTTCGTCATTGTTCCATAATATAACTTTCCTTTCGTTTGTATTAATTCCAAATACTTTCGGCAGGTTGGAATATATATATTGATTTCCATTGAAAAGTACAGGTAATGGTGTTAAACGATAAACCTGATAAATAGATGAGCTATCATTAGAAATTTCACGAAAAATAGTCGAGACAACAAGACATTGCGGCCCGTTACGAACATTATGATTAATTTTTGTAGAACATGATTTCAACGCGTAGACGGTTTGGCCAAAAATCATATTAATAAAATTCTGTTTGCTCTCTTCAATATTTGTAATATCAAGCTTAATATTATGTGCTAAATCGACTAATGGTAAAAGTTCTGCTATTTGTTCATCATTTAAAAAGTCGAATCCTATTTTATTATTGAACATTTGTTCAAGAACTAATGTTGCAATATTATTCGAGCGATAAATTGTCTGTTGACGGTTGTCATTGGTGGAGATGATAGAAGTGTCGACTGGTGTTTTTTTTGTATAACTAGGTAGATAAAACTTGTCATTCTTAAAGTATAGAATAGATCTTGCTTTTTGAACAATTTTATCAACTTCATGCCTTGCAAATACACGCTTAAAATCGTCTTGCATTATAAGGGAAATATTACTCTTATCATACATTGAAGATACAGCATTCGAATATGGCAGAACAGTTCCAATTTCTAAGATGCTAGGACCATTTGATTGAACATACTCACAGACATCTAAAGTTGGTGAAGTAAGGCATAAGTCATTGAAAGGTATAAGTATATGGACGATAGATTTCTCAAGCTGCTCATAATACACACCAATATTATGTAAAGCTATTCCTTTTTGTGTTTCAATAATAACGTCAGTTGCTGTGACATTTGTTAAAATAATTAATGTATTAGTAACAAATATAATCAGTAATATGGATGAAAACATTGTCTTCATATAAGTTTTACTTTTCAAAGTTGAAGAAAAATTTGTAGTATAATCAACGAGGAGTTTGATGATAATGAATGTGTGACTAGCTGAACTTTTTTGAATGATACATCAATGTGAGCTTGTGTTACTTTGTTAATGTTTACGATAAACAGACTATGTTCATAAAATTGAGATCTAATCAATATCTGCATAGTGTAAAGATCAGTGAAATGACTTGATTGACCTTAAAAGTAGATTGATCAATTGTTGGTGAAGCTCAATACAGTAAGAGCAGCACGTGCTCGATAACAATTATCTATAGAAATGCATAGAGATCAATCTTGTTTGGCATAGCTATTTTAGTTAGAAGAGTTCGATTTATTGCCGCAGTTGTTATTTGTAAAACAAATAAAAAAATTCGGTTCATCTAAATGATATTCGTGTAAATGTGTCGGATAGAATGATATATTTTGTGTTCAATGACCAAAGAAACATGATAAATTGATTTAGAAAAGAACACTTAAAGGACATTAAACAAAACACGTGTAGTAAAACGATATCTACTTCTAAATGCAGAGCAGGTATACATACACCTGAATATATGAAAAAAACGAACTCAATAGTCGAACTCTTCTTAGTTGAGTATACAAATACTTTTATCTTACCTGCATAACTAATAAAAGACGCGAGTAAAGCTTAAGAGTAGTTAGAGTATTAGCAAATAATTTCCAGTAAGTCAATCTATACCTTTTATTATGTTAATTGTTAAAAGCCAAGGAAATTCAGATCTTTTCAACCATGCCACGTCAACCTCGAATTGATGATGACGAGTTCAAAACAGCACTGTATTCGCTTTCAATCAATCAAATTATTTCTTTGGATAATTGTAAAACCAGTGCTGACGTATGGGGTCAGCTCTGCATTAAAATGGGCAAAAGAAATAATGTAGAAAATCGTCGTGGATGTTTCGATTTGTGGAAACGAAAAGGATACAGTTCTGAAGATATTCTCAAAAATATACCTCAGGTATTTTCTTGAACTAACGTTTATACCGAACATAATTACTATTTATTGAACTAGAATAATCAACATATCGACGACAACAATCTCGTTCAGGCCAATCTTCCGAATATAGATCAAGTAAGTGCCAAAATATGTGCTTCTATACCAGACTATCAATCAGAAAAATTCCATTCATTTGTATTGTTTAACAAAATTTAATACTCATGTTCGTGAGCAACAGATATCCATCAAATCCATATCTTAACGCGCCTAAGAATTTTACCAATCAACCCTCTCTACCTCATCCATATAACTGATAAGAACTGAATGTAAATCCGTAATCCGATAATTCATCTTACAGTTGAGGAAGTTGAATGCTTCTTATCGTTAACACCAAAAAGTTACCTCGCACAATTGTACGATTCTAAACAAACTTATTCTCAGGCATAAATCTTCACAATCGGAACGAAAATCACATAGAAAGACTATTTCACATACAGAAGAGCTAAGAAAAACATTACAAATGATTGCCGAAGTGAAAACAGACAACGAGTTTCAAGACTCGCCATTCATCATCAATCATTTATTGTTATTAAAATAAGCCATTCGAGCTGATTCTCTTCATTCACCAACAGAAATTACTGCGACATATAATGATAAATCGCCGACGAAACTCATATTCCAAAATTTCACTCGTGAATATTCACCGATCAACAAAAACAATACCCAACTTCTCCCGTCATTTTTCCTTCTTCATTCATCAACGGCGTTCGCACACATTCGCAACTCAAATCTGTATCCAATGTTGATGTTTCTTTCAACAGAAATCCGTAAACACGAATTTCATGTCGAGTCTTTTTTCTCTGTACGTGTGTGTCAAGACATTGATCAAGCACGTTGAGAGAGAGTTTCTCTCTTGCACTAGCGCTTTCGTTCGAGAGACATGACGAACTAGATTCATCTTCGAATTCTACACCAAATGCAACTGTTTTCATCAAGAAAAGACAGTGGATGTGCATTTCATCTCGAGTCTTTTTTTCGTCCACATGTGTGTGACGACATTGATCAAGCACGTTAAGAGAGAGTTTCTCTCTTGCACTAGCGCTTTCGTTCGAGAGACATGACGAACTAGATTCATCTTCGAATTCTACACCAAATGCAACTGTTTTCATCAAGAAAAGACAGTGGATGTGCATTTCATGTCGAGTCTTTGTTTCGTCCACATGTGTGTGACGACATTGATCAAGCACGTTGAGAGAGAGTTTCTCTCTTGCACTAGCGTGTTCGTGCTCGAGTCATGATTACCTAGATTCCTGTCTGAATTCTACATCTGTGTTTGTGTTGTTCTATCTAGTAGAAGCACTTATGGTGTTGCGTTTTCGTATTTGTTAGATAATAATTTTGCGAGTTGAAGGCTATTGTTTGCATTGTTTAGAAATTATGATGGAGAACTGATGAGCTAGTTCTTTTCGTTAGAAGAGGATGTTATTATTGATGGATAGTTGGGTGTGTGGAGAATGATTGTAGTGTTGGGGGAAAAGTGAATTGAGCAGAGTATGTTGAATTTGTTTATCTTGCAGGAATTATGTGCAGCACTGGAAGGCAGTGAAACGGAAGAGTTTATCGAAGAGCTGAAGAGTTTTTTAAATAAACAAGGAAAAAATATTTCTTTGAAGTTTAATCATAATTTGGAATCTACCAATTGTTCTGGCAATATAGTTTCCATTGAACTTGTTTGTAAATGTCAAAATGATTGTAATGAAAGCATCAATAGTGATAGCAAGTCGCAAGCAATGAGTGTATCGTATGAAGTGAGTATTGAATTTTATTTTGTAAATTCAAAGGAGAAAATAAAACCAGGCTTATCTGTCACTTGGAATTGATAAAAACTATTTACCTTACTTGCTTTTCATCTAGTATGAAGCCGTTGGGAAATGGAATAATCTTTCTATTGAATATGAAGACGCCTCAATACCTTCCGTTGATACACCTCTGCGATTGGTATTGTCACCAGCATCATTGGTAAGCTCTAATAAAAAGAAAATATGATAAATAATTTTCCTTGTAGTCATCGCCAGAACTATGTCCGGAAACGAACATCTTGACTTCGACGCCGAAAGCAGCTGATAAATCAAATCGTGTAATACCTACGGTTTTAGATAAGAAAGTAAGGATATGAAACATAGTTGAGTTGATTATGCGCATGATCTTTGGAGGTCTCTCTTGTCTTTCCAATAGAAGTGACTTCCTTATACTTGTAGCTATTCATTATTACCTGTTTTTAATCCGATAGAATATTTGTAAAGCGAAAATATATATTACTGGTGTTTAGGATATATTAAGCCCAATGAAAACATTAAATCGGGTTGTTATCGATGAAGAACACATGGAGTTACTCACCTTTTTACAACGCAATACAGAGAGCTCGTCATTCTTCACTTGTGATATGAATATCATTCAAGAAACTGAAAGAGCGAAATCAATCATTATCTCTCAAAGTGATATGGGAATATTGAAAAAGTTGCGTGAAGAAGAACAAAAAAAAACAGAGGAAGATGGAAATAGCGAAACAAGTGATTCAGATAACAATGATAACTCTGGAGATTTGAAAGGTAACAGCAGCTCTGATGATTCAGATGATTCTAGCAATGCATTACAACAAAAAAGAAATCTTGAATGGACTGTGATAATGGATGGTTATATACAGCAATCCAATGATTACTGTGTGTTTGTATACGAGAGGCATTATTTTAGTTTTGGAAACAAGAGAAAGAAACGTGCTAAGTATTTCATGAGTATAAGTGCTCACTGTAAGTTCAGCACTTGTACTTGCACATTTAAAGCTACGATAGATAAAAATGGGAAATTAAAAGTAAATTATAAGGGTCAAATTCGGCATTTAAAAGGAGAAATACATTCAAGACCACAACGTGGTAGTCGTCGACAGAAATTGCAACAACTTTCAGCACTGGGTGTTTCACCAAATGCCTTACACTTAGAACAATATAAGCGATTGACTGAAAATAACAAAAAATCTGGTAATCGAAATGTCGTAGGTTCCAGTCCATCAGTCATTCGTAAAATATCAAGTGAAGGTAATGTAAAATCCCGACGACACGATAAAACATTAGAAAGTCTCCATAAAATAAAAGAAGAGCAAGCAAAGACTATATATCCTTCCGAATCATTACCAGGCTATTTACAAGCTATAAGTGCTGATCCATTGCGAGTCATCTGCTTCACAGCGGGTGGGCTTCGAGTATACCAACGATGTGCATTAAACATGCCATTATCATGGGATGCCACCGGCGGTATTGTTATTAACCGTCAAAAACGAATATATTATTATGAGTTGACGATGCAAAATCTTATCAAAAAGGGTCCATCCTTTCCAATTACTGTGATGCTCAGTGAATCTCATGGTACGGGAGATATAGTGCATTGGATGAACTATTTTAAAGAAAAATATAAAGAAACTTTTGGCTTTCGAAATACTTTCCCCAAACCACCAATTATTCATAGTGACCGTGCTCTCGTATTCCTGCTAGCTGCCATTGAAGTTTTTAACTTCGATGAAACAATGGCTCGGTACATAGAAAGATGTTGGCGAATAGTTCAGGGAACAGCTAACAAGCGTGACTTAGAACTAACTATCATTCATGCTTGTTTAGGCCATTTTATGAAGAATGTAAAGAGAAATGCAACTAAAGAGTTATCGAAAAAACAGGTAGAAACGTCTTGTACTTACTTATTTTTTCCACAGGTCGAAAGTCTCTTATTTATATTTCAAAGGTTCCATTTGGTATGTGGTTAGCGGCCTTGCTTGTGAATAGCAGCACTTTGGATGAAATGATAATTGTTTGGGAGAATATCTGTATTGTATTAATTAGCACAAATCAAAATGATCGATTTAAAATGTCACTATCATTGCTGTCTCAAATGGCAGATAAAATGAATAAAGATCCGGATAAAGCCAATGATGTATTGAAAAATGTAACAGTAACATCAAAAATACAATTTCAGAGTAATTTAGACAAAAATGTAAGTAGCTGTGTTGTGAGTATACAATAGCACATTAGCACTTCTCATCATACATCACCTCGTATATTTAATCTTCATAAGCACATTGTAATTTCGAGAGCCAATGAAATCATCATTTCACTATCTGCAGCATTTTCTTCCTTTCGTTGTATTGTCTAATTGTGTTGACCGATGCATACGTTACGAAGCGTACATCGAGATGAAAGTATGTAAGTGAGAGAACAAGAACGAAGTGGGCGGATATGCAAAGGAAAAATGAAAATAGATACGTGAAAGGCAGATGCGATTGAACAGAAGTTAAAAGAGAAAAGAAGAAGAAGGGAGAGCAGAAGAGGTGAAAGGATAGTATCGATGTGTCGTTATGAAATGATTTGAAGAAAAGGAAAGCTGATTAGAAATTGTCTGCGAGTTGGATGGATTAAATGTTCCAATAGAATCTAACATAACATGATCTCATTGCACACTTTTTTCTTGTATAATCTATTTTATTTATTCAGTAGAATTGATAGAGAGTTTCTAAATAATCTACGATCGTGTTTAAATAGGCATACGAAAACGATGAAAATGATCTACCACTTGGTGAAGAAGATGCTGTTCTTCAAATAGAATCACCATTCAAAGAATTATTCACCAAAATTTACGAAGAATGTAAAGAAACGTTAAAAGTATATGACGAACCGCAATGGAACAACTTGCCGAATAATCCACTATTCTCAGCAACGTATTTAACACGTTTATTGAAACTTTATATGCCGACTGCACCAATTTGGAGTAATCTTTTGTTAGGCAATTTCACAAGTCGATATGGTTATAATTCAAACTTTGCGACAGTGCCATGTTGCTGTCACACAGGACGAACAACAGGTGTTTCTGAATCTCGAATGAGAGTGCTGAAAGAAGCAATTTTAAGACGCAAAGTATACTCACGAATTGATGAAGTAGTAACTAAATTGGGAGAAAGTATTGAAGCAGTTGAATGCCAATTTGCAGATTTCATATTTATGAAAAACAATAAAAATCACGTGTTGCCAGCAACAAAACAAAAGAAAGCAGCAGAAACTTGGGCAAAACGCACCAAAACAACTGCTAGTATTCATGAAGGATATACGTCTGGAAGTCCAAATTTAAATCTTACCGGAATGATGAATGCTCGACTGCTAGGTCAAAATGACGATGAAAATTTAGGTAATGTATTTATAGTCAGGAAAAGTTCTCGGGCCATTTAATTTCGTTGACGTGTTGTTGAATATTCGAGAACAGTTAACAGTAGTTTTCAAAATAATGAGAAGATTGATTTAAAAAGTTATATGGTTATATATTCGAAAAACTAATATGTCTGTTTTAGCCATTGGACAGTTACCAGAACTTTTGAAGTTCGAAAACAAAGCTAACAATTGTTGGTTTAATAGTATAATGCAAATGATTTTATCATCCGGACAAATCGTCGAAGCAATCATACGCATGGGTCCTGTCAATGCCGATGTAGAACCTTGGGTTGTTATGGTTGTTGCTGATATTCTGCATTCATTAACGAACAAGCACAAAAGTCGCAACAAAATTGGGAAAACAATTGTAGATCAGAAATTTATTTCAGAACAACTTCTACATCTCGTGTCGGCTGGTGTCAACATCAGGATAGGAAAATACAATTGTATGTTCGATTTCTTTTTAGCTGCTATTATACCATCCCTTGAATTCTATGGAATTGATTTCCAATCAAATATTAATATTTCGTTGCAATGTCGTACCTGCAACAAAAAGTCTCTTATCAGCACAGAAATATGGGACTATATCTTAGTAACTACATCAACAGTTCACGATAATCTTGCCAACATATTAACTGAAGTATTTGCGCCAGCACCTCGCAATATAGAATGCCCGCAATGTACTCATAATGATAGTCAACCAGTTTCATTAGCAATTGCAAAATTTCCGAAACATGTTTTTGTTCGTTTCCATGCAACAACAACAACTCAACATACCGAACACAAATTAACTCCTCATGTTGACTTATTCAACATCTTATCCGAACATATTGTTTGTACGCGATCCTACTGTCGCTACACTTTACAATCATTCGTTGTTTTCACTGGTCGTGATGATGAAGGGCATTACTACACCTTAGCTAATCGAAAAAATGAATGGTATAAACTAGATGATGACAAAATTACAATTCTTCCGCAGCGTACAATTTTCGACCAGCAGAGTGATCGCCCACCAGCTGTATTAGCCCATTATACTCGACCGTCCAACAAAGATGTATTCTCTATCGCACTCTGGAATGTTTTCACCAATTTCACCCGATGCAGCATGACACTTCCACCAAATCTATCATTGAATGATGCTGTTGATTATTTCGCAAAGCATGATCCACTTAACAATAATCCAATGAATTTTGCCATTCTCAAACAGTTCAATTGCTCTCATTGTAGAAAAGGTAACATTTTCCTATGAATGGAAAATTCAATTCTCTCATTGCTCACCACCAGAGAGTAGTGTGAAGCTGGCGCCACGAAGCACTAATTTGAATTTTTCATCAATAGTGATGTAATTATAGATGATTGAATTTCGTACCAGAAAGTTGCATTTTACTTATATATATGTATATACTCACTTAATAATGGTAATCTCTTTTATTTGTTTTTGTAAATTTAGAAACTTTAACAGTTGATCGATTGCATGTTGTATGGGAAATGAAGAGAAATGGTACCCACATTGAAAATATTCTGAGCGACTTTGCAGTAAAGGAAATTAGGTGCTCATCATGCAGTCGTGTTGGATATTCAAATTCAGTTTTGTACGATTCACCGCGGTTTTTAATTTTGAAAACTCGAGGAAAAGTCGACGAAAGCATTAATTTGGTTCACCATACAAATAGACTGATGATCAAACCGACTTGTTATTATCGTAATATTGAATATAATGCACAAACTGTTATGATGGTTCTTGAAGAAGATTACATTGTTTATTTAAGAAAAAATCCGAATGGTTATTCATCTTATAACGAAACCAGCAACCAATTTGAATTACTGAAGGAAGTGACAGCCGAGAATACCGGTTTGTCATGTAGATGGATGGTGTTTGTTTATGAAACCATAGATATCGTATTCCCACCGTTTCCTATGCAAAAAACTACTTGACATCAAACTGATCTACTTACTAGTGTAGGGCCGGAAGATTATATAGACGAATTTGTCAATGATCTACTACCTATTTATGAAAAAGGATTTCTTGTTGGATCTATTCATGTCAAATTAGATGACATGACTATTTTGTTAAGCCCGAATGGAGACATTAACGATCTGATTATTGATGCACATCTATCCATCACAGCATCCAGTGCTGCTTCGAATAATAAGGTTTTACCCGTACCGAGCTATCTAATCAGACAGATCATTTTGAAAAAAACTAAGGACTATACCCATCAGCTGGTTGAATTTTGACATATTGCTCTGTCCCATTAATCAGAATAATCACCGGTACATTATAATAATAGATCATAAAAAGAATCTGATTCTAGAATGAGATTCTTCAGTCAAACATGATATGCCACGCTTGACAAACATGAAGCGTATACTACATATATTACATCTACAACATTTTCTAAAAACGCACAAAGGAATTGATTACGTTTGAAAATGAACCTACAAAGCAACAAACAGACAGTCATTCATGTGGCATTCACCTTCTACTACAAGCCGAAGCTTATGTAAAAAATTTTAAATTCCTTCCAATACAAGGCGACCAACTTCAACAATACCGATATCGGATTGCCGAAGCACTATTACGCAAAGGGGAGCCTAACAAGAACAGCTCATCATTGGGATCCGTAAGTATCTTCATCTTTCGATCACACGTCATCCATCATGTCTTCTCTCTCTACAGCTACTGGAAGAAATACCCGACTCAAACAGAAGCAAGAATTTCCGCAAAAGTAAACAGCAAGAACATTTTTAGTCCGATTTCTTATTCTATCTGCTCATGCCATTTTTTTCCATAATGAAAAGGCAGTTTAAATTATTAAAGCCTACGCTAGCCTATTTCCCTCACATCGGACCAAGCTCTCATTTCAAATCAACAACAAACATCAATCAACTACTGCCTGAGCCACAAAATGCAATAACACCAGACAATAGAAAAGAGCACTCAGCTTTCCAGAACGTTTTCCCGCTGATCGGAATATATGCATTTGATTCAGAATTCGATTCTGCATCGATTGAAACACCTTCAAACCACTGAAAAACGTTTCGTGGGAGAAAACGCGATGGATATTGGGTTCAACATGGGTTGGTCCACGTGATCAAAGAGAGAATGCCGCTCTCCAGAACGTTTTCCGGTCCTTCGGAACAGCTGTATTTTATTCAGAATTTTACTGTGGTCTCGAACGCATTCGATTCTTTTTTGACAACTGGATTTTACATAATATTTGGTCACAGTGCGATAGCTGCATGGTGCTAGTTTTGATTCGTGAAGGAAGCTTGTTTGGTTGCTACGGAATCCATAGTCCAATCTATGACCACCATTATGGTGTTTTTGGTATCGGTGTGATTTGATGGGTGTATTGTGGAGCCAATCGGTTTGAGTCTTAAATGGTGCCAGCGTTAAATGGTGCTAACTTCACACCGATTATGGAATTCCACTTTCAATTTTATTTTCGCATGATATTCGTATCATCATATTTATTCATCAATTACCAAATAATCAAGCAATTCTTGTTAAAATTCAACAAAAACGAGATTTAATTGCCATTCGAAGAATATTTCTTCATGTGACTTTACTTATTCTTCTTGTTTTACCAGAATTAATTTTAACATTAATGAAATTTATTAATGGAATTGATTATCCGTTAACTAATCGTATTTTATGGTTAGGTAATGAAATATCTATTGTAATATTAACAATAGAAATGATATTAATAACACCACAATTAAAAAATCTTTTTCTAAAACGCGAATCAAGAAAAAATCGTGGTACTATATTTGTTCAAACAATTCAACAATGATTCGATAATTCATTAAATTTTAAAATATCTAAAAACATTTGAAGATGAAGATATAAATCAGTGAACGGGCGTGTCCTTATTTTCTTCTTTTATCTTTTTATCTTTTTGAGAATAAATATATTTGTAAAAATAAAATTCAAGAAAGTTGATCGCCATTAAATTTTAATGGTTCAAATTCTATGTATGAAGATGAAGGTAATTTTGTTTTTATCTCCATTGCTTTTTTGAAATCAAAACGATTTTGCTCGAATAATCTAAATTTATATGAAATGTTTTTCTTTTCTTGAATCTCAATCTTCATAATTGCATAGTTGTGAGCGGATGCTCGTGAGAGAAAGTGGAGACAGAAGGTAAATGGATGAACGAGTGAACTAATGTTTTATTGTATAAAACTGAGCAGTATAAATACCACCGAGAACAAAGACGAACAGATGATGAAATGTACAAAAACGAAAAGATGATGACATGAAGATGAATAGTGAGCCAGACGAGAAAGATAAAGGTATAGATGATGAAACTGGTGAACACAGTGAGGATGATGAAATGTAGAATGTATGTCATCATATGTTCACAGAACAAATAACAGCTGTAAACATATGTGACATATATGAAGAACAGATAAAAAGAACGAGAGGATGACGTATATCATCCTCTAAGAATAGTTCATTCGCTGTATGATGGACGATTCGAATAGTAAGAAAAAGACATTCGTTTTTATACCTATAAATGCCTATTACTATTCACATTGATTGACATATTCCATTTCTTCTATCAAATTTTATTAAGGACGCCATTTTCATATTTCTGTAATCTTTAATGATGTTTTTGATCGTTTAATTTTGTGATTGGTTAGTTTCTGACTAATGAAAATTTTCTTTTTTATTTTTAATTTCACATCAATAAACGCCAACGTCAGTGTTACATCATACTGATTAATCCTTTCGATCCCGATATTTTCTTACGTTCTGTATAAACACGAAAAATAGAAAAAAATATCTCTCTCGTGCGTTCAGTCAGCTGTATTTTAATCTATTCTGATCATCAACACATAGGAAATAAGAATCACGTGTGTTATAGCTTAGCTGAACACCATGATATTCGTCTTCTTAGAAGACGAAAGAACGAAAAAGTATTTCTCTTGCGTTCTCCATGTCATCTACGAAATGACATCGGGATCGAAAGGGTTAATCCATACACAATGTGATTATATCAAACCATCATTTTCAATATTTTATAGATCTAGAAATTATTGTTCCATTAGTTTTTCATAGCGATGATAGGCCATCCCCTGACACATGAATTGCAATAGATAGTAGCGCTTAAATAGAGGAAGTAAAAACGATAAGCAGTGACTTATTCAATCCATAATCCCTAAACTGACTTCTTAATCACCATTATGGTGGATCTAGAAGTGTTTTTATCGTTGTTTATAGTATAATAAAAATGAGAATAATATGAAAATTTATTTTCAGATTTTATCCTTATAAGAACGGCTTTTCACATGGAAGAACAACAATCAAAACCTGTCACCTTTGATTTATCATGGTCATTGGACGAATCACGACAAACTCTTTCATCATCTTTGTTTCGCGATATTCCTAACGAAATTCTTTTACATATTTTTCGATTTCTCTCTGTACCTGATCTTTGCCGAATTTCTTCTGTTTGTCGAGCATTCAAAATACTTGCTGACCGCGATGAACTTTGGAAAGTCAAATGTGATAGTAAGTTGAATCATACCTTCTTTTTCTTCTTTGTTAAATGATCTTCTCTAGCATCAAAAAAACTTTATTCGAAATCGTACAAACAAATCTATATTGAATGGATTCATGAAAAATCAATACGTAATCAAAAGTTAAATCAAATACGAATGGAGCGTATGTACAGAACCGCATGTATTATCCGTTTACCACCTTCTTATCCGCAGCGACCAGCAGGTAAACATCACTTCCAATCTATTGGTTCTTTTAAGCAACATCCAAATTCCACACGAAATATGTAAGTTTATCTTTCGTTGTTATACTTCTCACATATTCAAATTTCTATCAACTTCTTAGGGCAATTCCGTTATCAGTTGATATCGATGAAACAGCACCTAAGTTAATATCGTTGTCAGAAAAAACAGGTGCTTTTCTAAAACAATGGTTTTCACCATCAGTACTAAAACAAATGATCCAACGGTATTATCGATTCATGCAACTGAAAGCATATCATCCAACAAATACTCTTCTTATTCCAACATTGGATATTGAAATCATTTGGCAAACTCATCTACTTCGACCAGAAATGTATGAAAAAGATTGTATTCGTTTGTTTCGTCGAGTCATTGATCATTCATTAGTTCTCAACGAAGTAGAAAGTTATTTTAAACGACAAGCATTCATTGATACATGTCAATTATATGAGGAAAAATTCGGTGAAAAATATTGTACATTACCTAAAATTGAAGAAGAGAAAAATGATATACGTGTTCGTGATCTACACGCATTTAATTCGCGAAAGAAGCAACAAGAAACATATTCCTACTGGGATGAAACACAGTTCGAATTTTTATCAAAATCGCCTCAAGACTATGAGAATCCGTTTTCATTTACTGAAGGAGACATTAAGTTGGATGGAGAATGGTTTGAGTTATGTAAACAATTTATGTTCGATGCTTTCAAAAAGTTGTCGACCCCTATTCGTCATTACTACAGTTCCGAACATATCGATCTAGGACCAAACGCATTACGACGATTGAAAAAATCATACGAACGATTTTTGTATATGGCTGCAAAATATCCTCTGAAGGATGGAAATGGATTTATTCCACCAACATATGCAGTAAGTCTTAAAGTCAACAAAAGAAAATAGATCATTCTTCATCAATTGTAGGTTGATATTATTTGGCATTCTCATATGCAAGAACCACTGAAATATATCGCTGATTGTGTTCGTTTAGTTGGTTATGTTATTTATCATGATCCATGGCCAATAGTGGAAGATGAAAAGATGAAAAAATCATGCGATAAAGTGGATCAAATTTGGCGGGATGAATTCCAATGTGAATTGGGCACAGATCATCTTTACGATACATCAAACAATAATAAACATTCGCTCGCTGAGGATTATTGGGACAGGGGTTCGGATGATGAAATGGATTTGGAATAAAAACTTCTTCTTATTGCTTTGATTAATCAAGAATCAACTTTTTACTAATACCCAGGTCGAACAATCCCATACTCGGATCCCATCGGATTCAATATAGGATTTTACCAGATCCTACAGGAATTCGACGGATCCGAAACACGAATTTCCTGGATTTTCTAAGGGTCATCATAGAACATAGCTAAAAAGATCGCTCATAAAATTTGCAACAACCGACGGGATTTTTCTAGTCGGATTCCAATGCAATTCCGTTTCCAGGAATCCGATCGGATCTAGCATCGGATTTGTGGACCTGGGTTGTTAATAAACATATCTGCACCATCAGGCGATGAATCAGCTGATTTCTCATCTTTTGTGGCATTCGACTTTTGTTTGTGCAACAACAGCAAGTACTGATTTTGGGATTCTCGATTAGCCATCGATGTTGTAATGCTTTCTATTAACTTACAGATGTTTGCATTTGTGAAACGCAGTTCTTCGATCAGTTTGGAAAAATTCTCATTTGTAGAATGCTGTTCCGCGCCTGACTTTTTCGACTTGTCAGCTGGTAAAACATCTTGTTTCTGTATTTGTGTCAATGCTTCTTGTTTTTGTTCCTGTGTATCACCCATTGGGACATAATCATGACTTTCGATGCTCTAAAAAAGAAGGACTATTTGATAATTGAAAAATGAAATCCGAACTTCTCCGTCGTTCAAAAGAAGCGAGTGATTATACCATCTTAGTCTCAGCTATAATTGCTCACAAATCAATACTGTCGGCTAGAAATTCCATTCTATTAGAAACTGATACTAAGAATAAAATGCTACGCTTGTTCATTTATATATAAATCACATGGACTAACACCGCGGGCGGCATAGTCGCTCGAAATTGTTATCATAAACGACCGTCCGTCAGTTATTACAAATGTTTTATCGTTTAAGCAAAAGAATTTCTTTTCGATAAGTCACGTTCCAGCTTAATTGTGGCCCGAAAACGTTCACTGTATTGCACACTGCTCTATTTCATCTTTTGCAGTCTTTCGACGTCCGCTCCCTTCCCTTCTGATTTGAAGAAATCTTACCATACTGATACGTTCATTCCGACTACCGCATTGATATTCATATATTTAATACATTTGCTTTTAATAGAATATTTTTGGTCGATTTCTTCAGTACGCTCATTAACGATAAGCTCATTCAGTTTCGTTGAATGAAATGCTCTGTTTTGATCATTCGATTTTTGCGAAGCAAATAGAAATTTACGATTATTAATTGAGTGCTCTGAAGTCATATGAAAAAATGAAATCTGCATTTTGATTGTTTTACTTTAATGACTCTTACTTTTATTGTGTACGATACCATCATATTTTTTATAAATTGATTTTACCGTCGATGTTCTTGGCATTCTTGGCAGAGGACGAAACGACATAATTGGCTATTTTCACACTAAAATAGTAGAAGAGATAGAAAACTCCTAACAAAGAAAACTGATTTCACAGCAGCGCATAAATAAAGTGAAGCGTTCGAAATGAAATAGGCTAAGTATCATAATATTATTTGTTCACAACTGCCTTCGATCTAGAGACAAATCTTGATAGAGGTCGTTTTCGTAAGCCAATTTAAAGCAAACCTGTTTCTTGTATTGTTTTGCTTTCTTTTCGCTAGTCAGATTATCGTAAAGCTGAAATGATTATGAAGTATCGTGAATGTGAAAAAACTTTTGTTTTTTTGTAAGAAAGATGAATGTGTTTTAAATAAAATGAAATATTTGAAATGTAGTGAGATCTCATCGATAGCTCGATACGTGTGCACTCAAAGTGAAAAAACATCAAAACTATCTTTCATTTCATGAGTAAACTAAAGCAAGATTTGATGAACCATTTTATCTGATATTGAAAACAAGTTGCGAAATATCAGGAGTGTATGAAATCATGCAACGAATATATCATGTGTAACACATGCGAGAAAGAAGCGTAATTTAGGTGTAAAATACAAATACCAGAAAATATTTAATCCTCGTGTTTTCACTATATCAACCTTTTACGTCCGGCCGTTTGAAAAATGCTACACCCCTCTACAGCAAAGTGTTACCAAATGACAACATACAGTCGTAAGGGGTTGAGGCTAAAATATTCTGATGATGTTATATACTAAATCTTATTCCCATCACTGGTGGACGAACTAGCTGAATTTTTTTTATTACAAATATCTGATCTATTTTTTATTTTCAAAGTAATGTTTTTTCTGGAAAAGGGAAATGGTTTTGCTTAAGTACAAGTAGCGCTCATCCGTTGGATTCGCTGACCCTTTTCTGAAAGTACCAGAAAACTAGTAAATAAACGCTCTCATTTAGATCTCAATCTAATTGACTTCGAATTGAAGTTACTTTTATGCTCATTCTTTCATTTTTTGCTTCATTCATGTCAGATTACTTTCAAATTATTTGTCCAAAGCCGNTGTAATTATAGATGATTGAATTTCGTACCAGAAAGTTGCATTTTACTTATATATATGTATATACTCACTTAATAATGGTAATCTCTTTTATTTGTTTTTGTAAATTTAGAAACTTTAACAGTTGATCGATTGCATGTTGTATGGGAAATGAAGAGAAATGGTACCCACATTGAAAATATTCTGAGCGACTTTGCAGTAAAGGAAATTAGGTGCTCATCATGTAGTCGTGTTGGATATTCAAATTCAGTTTTGTACGATACACCGAGGTTTTTAATTTTGAAAACTCGAGGAAATGTCGACGAATGCATTAATTTGGTTCACCATACAAATAGACTGATGATCAAACCGACTTGTTATCATCGTAATATTGAATATAATGCACAAACTGTTATGATGGTTCTTGAAGAAGATTACATTGTTTATTTAAGAAAAAATCCGAATGGTTATTCATCTTATAACGAAACCACCAAACAATTTGAATTACTGAAGGAAGTGACTGCCGAGAATACCGGTTTGTCATGTAGATGGATGGTGTTTGTTTATGAAACCGTAGATATCGTATTTCCACCGTTTCCTATGCAAAAAACTACTCGACATCAAACAGATCTACCTCCTAGTTTAGGGCCGGAAGATTATATAGACGAATTTGTCAATGATCTACTACCTATTTATGAAAAAGGATTTCTTGTTGGATCTATTCATATCAAATTAGATGACATGACTATTTTGTTAAGCCCGAATGGAGACATTAACGATCTGATTATTGACGCACATCTATCCATCACAGCATCCAGTGCTGCTTCGAATAATAAGGTTTTAGCCGTACCGAGCTATCTAATCAGACAGATCATTTTGAAAAAACTAAGGACTATACCAATCAGCTGGTTGAATTTTGACATATTGCTCTGTCCCATTAATCAGAATAATCACTGGTACATTATAATAATAGATCGTAAAAAGAATCTAATCCTAGAATTAGATTCTTCAGTCAAACATGAAATGCCACGCTTGACAAACATGAAGCGTATACTACATATATTACATCTACAACACTTTCTAAAAACGCACAAAGGAATTGATTTTGAAAATCACTGGAAATTGATTACGTTTGAAAATGAACCTACAATGCAACAAACCGACAGTCATTCATGTGGCATTCACCTTCTCCTACAAGCCGAAGCTTATGTAAAAAATTTCAAATTCCTTCAAATACAAGGCGACCAACTTCAACAATACCGATATCGGATTGCCGAAGCACTATTACGCAAAGGGGAGCCTAACAAGAATAGCTCATCATCGGGATCCGTAAGTACCTTCATCTTTCGATCACATCTCACCCATCATGTCTTCTCTCTCTACAGCTACTGGAAGGAATACCCGACTCAAACAGAAGCAAGAATTTCCGCAAGAGCAAACAGCAAGAACATTTTTAGTCCGATTCCTTATTCTATCCACTGACGCCATTTTTTTCACAATAAAAAAAAGGTTTCCATCCTCAAAATCTACCACTACCTATTTCTCCGATATCAGACCCAGCTCTCATTTCAAACCAACAACAATCAACCACTGCCTAAGCCACAAAATACAATAACACCATAAACTAGAGAAGAGCACTCAGCTCTCCAAAACGTTTTCACATTGTTCCGTAGAGCTACATTTCATTCAGCACTCGGTTTTGTATCGATTTCACCACCTTCCAATCGCCGGAAAAAGTTGCGTAGAAAAAAGTTCCACGGATAATCGGTCCCACGTAATTGGGTCCACGTGATCAGAGGGCCGATGCCGCTCTCCAGAACGTTTTCCGGTCCTTCGGAACAGCTGCGTTCGATTCACAATTCGATTCTGCATCGATTGGAAGACCTTTGAACCACCGGAAAACGTTTCGCGCAAAAAAAGTGGGCGGATATTGGGTCCAATGGTGGTTGGTCCACGTGATCAAAGAGAGAACGCCGCTCTCCAGAACGTTTTCCGGTCCTTCGGAAGAGCTGCGTTTGATGCAGAATTCGATTCTCCATCGATCGGAAGACCTTTGAACCACCGGAAAACGTTTCGCGCAAAAAAAGCGGGCGGATATTGGGTCCAATGGTGGTTGGTCCACGTGATCAAAGAGAGAACGCCGCTCTCCAGAACGTTTTCCGATCCTTCGGAACAGCTGCATTCGATGCAGAATTTCATTGTGCATCCGTTAGGACACGTTCCAATCACCGGAAAACGTTTCGCGCAAAAAAAGTGGGCGGATATTGGGTCCAATCGTAGTTGGTCCACGTAATCAAAGAGCCGACGCCGCTCTCCAGAACGTTTTCCGGTCCTTCAGAACAGCTGCGTTCGATGCAGAATTCGATTCTGCATCGATTGGAAGACCCTTGAACCACCGGAAAACGTTTCGCGCAAAAAAAGTGGGCGGATATTGGGTCCAATCGTAGTTGCTCCACGTGATCAAAGAGAGAACGCCGCTCTCCAGAACGTTTTTCGGTCCTTCGGAACAGCTGCGTTTGATGCAGAATTCGATGGTGCATCGATTGGAAGACCTTTGAACCACCGGAAAACGTTTCGCGCAAAAAAGGTGGGCGGATATTGGGTCCAATCGTAGTTGGTCCACGTAATCAAAGAGCCGACGCCGCTCTCCAGAACGTTTTCCGGTCCTTCAGAACAGCTGCGTTCGATGCAGAATTCGATTCTGCATCGATTGGAAGACCCTTGAACCACCGGAAAACGTTTCGCGCAAAAAAAGTGGGCGGATATTGGGTCCAATCGTAGTTGCTCCACGTGATCAAAGAGCCGACTCCGCTCTCAAGAACGTTTTCCGGTCCTTCGGAACATCTGCATCGGATTTGAATTCGATTATGCGTCGATGGAAAACTTGCCCAGTACCGGAAAGTCGGCCTGGGTGAAGTTTGACCGGTATTTTGTGCATCGGTGGCATGTGTGTGGGTGATGACGCTTGAGGGTTGGTCGTTGGAGAAATATTCGATGGGATGTTCGGAGTGGGCAGAGTGTTTGTGCTGGAAAACGTTGTTTTCATGGTTTGGCGGGATGTTTCTAGGATAGGACAGTTGGATTTGATGATGGAGTGAGATAGTGTAGTTGGTAACTAAGGGTTGAGAGATGGTAAAATATGGATATGGGAGGTATTTTATGGATATGTACTGATTGGTTGATTGTTAAATGGTGCTAGCGTTAAATGGTGCTAACTTCACACCGATAGATGAATTCATCAGTGAATTGTTTCACAGTTATGTGGACTAAATATGCAGTTGTAAAGTTTAGACAATCATCTTCAAGGAAATATCATAACTATCCAAAGTAAGTAGACTGTTAAAAATATTAATCAACAGTCTAGATGTTTTTTTATAGTTGCGGGTCGATAATAGCATAATCTGCAGTTCTATAGCTTTCTAATAATTGTGAGTAGAATCTGCATCGCCAATGTGTTCCTTTGTAGTTTTTTACAATACAGGATATATTACACGCTCAATAATTCATGACATACTCATATCGACAAGATTTCCTCAAAAAAAAGACTTTCCATTTCCCACACGCATATCTTAACAGGAATCTGCATATCTACCAGATATCAAGTTTTATGATCTCTCTTCATATTGTTAATTTTAATTATAACTTCTGTCGATCAGAATAAAAGTGCTAGTGTACTCGTAAACATTTATATTACGTAGGTCGGTTCATCTGAGTGGATGCTTGAATATGTTAGAAATAAAGTTTCTATATAAAAAATATATCATTTTTATCTAAATGTTTGTAGGGATGAATTAGAATTAACTCATCCGGCTATGACAAGCATATCTTTTATATTCTGTCTCTCTTGCCACGCACATTAGAGCAAAAGATTGTCGTTTCATAATGTCCTTAATCATAAAATAATATTTACATCCCCTTAGGACTGTTATATTTTCCTACAAAATGACAAATTCATGAAACACCTTTCTATTCTCTCTTCTCTTTTACATGTTTAATATACTTCGTTTCATTTTTTGTGCGTTAAGTCTCGTAAGAAACGGTGTTGACATGATTGTTTGAGGTGTTAAGATGTATCAAGATAGGATAAAACATCGATGAGGAAAGTACTGTACTATTGCTTACTTGCTCACTTGCTGATATGTAGTTCGTGATCATTAGGCATGATTCTTGTAATAAATCTTAATAAATAGAGTTTTCCTGTAGTACCAGATATAATCTAAGTCTTTTATAGTTAGTTTTTCTTGAACTCGTTTATTAGCAAGAAATATGATACTGAAATACATACATCTCTCAGATTTTATTTTAAAAAGTTATTTTCGCTACCCTTCAGTGTATAAAAATAATAGTTTATAACTCTTTCTCAATGATGGTACATGCACATAACATCATCTGGTTTATGCTACTTTTCCCTCAACCCTCGCAATTACGTAGGTGCTGTAGGAGTGCTGTTTTTGAGACCCTATAGAGAGAAAATATTTGCAAAACTGACTTCACGAATTTAGTTACATTGCAGTCGAGTACGTGTTGTAAATAAAATTATAAACAAAATTCGTGTAACAAAGCTAATGCTAATATGTCATCCATGACTATTACTCTACCTACAACACGGATCCTTTGTCATTTGCCCTATTATATAACGCACTATCCTCTTGATAGTTTAACCTAAACAGCTTTTCATTCATTTCTACGAATATTTCCGAACTTCTTCCTACTCATCAGCTGATAATACGTTCGTAGGAGAGATTAATTATGATGTCTACACATGCAGCACCATTGTCTTGCCTGTAAAATATTAAAGTGATTATTCTGCTGCTTTTGTCTTCATTTACTTAAATAAGATTAGATGGTTATTTGACCGGAGTCATGTCAACTGGAAGATTCACCAGCATCGGTAATTTGCTGAAATTTTTTTTAATACAAAACCAATGAGAACATTAGTGCTCGTGTTTGCCGTTGTTGACCAAGCTTTTCCCCAGTCTTACATAGCTGATCTAATAAGATTGTCTAAGTGATGTTCACATAGATGATTCGAGCCTTTATATAAAAAATAAACCTATAAATATATCTGATAAATTGAGGAAGTCAGATACGTTTCAAAAAATAAAAGAGATCTTTACCGTGGATAGAGTCACCATCACAACTACAGCCTTTACACGAAAGTAAAATTTTGTTTTTTTACTGCAATCTATAGTGTATGTAAATTAAGTTGTTACTAGAAGGAGTCCCATCCTATCACGTGATCGTGAAGACTCCATCGCCTTAGGGAAGTTCAGATGTCTTTCTTGTTCTATCTTTCTTTCATACAGTGTGTCAATCACAGTAATCATTATAATTTATTTTTTAAACCGTATATTATATGAAACAAATTCAGTAAGAAAATATAAGCGATATTTTTTTTGTTTCCTTATTGATTACTAGTAATAAGGACTTTTCTTCCTTGACATAAGTGCTTCCTTCATATAGTTCGAAAAACGATACACTTTCGTGTATTTGTAGAAAGATGCTGTTTCAAATCGTTTTATTCAGTCTATTACTGATGTCTCACACGTCAATAGTGACATCAGCAAGCCTGCTGCAATGTCGATGTTGCCAATATAGTGGTGCACTACAGTCCAACGCTTTAGGAACATGCCGATGTGTTCCTGAAAACGTCGGATCACCGTTCCGGTACGATGGTTCAACTGTCCGACCCTATGCTCAAGTATGTCGCTTGAAATATCGTCCATACTATGACCCTTTTAGACCAAATTTATGCTGTCAATTATTCTTGGTTTAACATCTTCTCAGATTTTTCCGTGATTATATATGACGCATAAAATAAAAAAAAAGCATGCACCAAACAAATCAATTTTGTAAACTCGAATAATGTAGTAGATATATAGAGTACCTTTGAGCAAGTGCATAGTGAAACTTGACGAGGTCCATCGACTCGAATGATAATATTTTTATCCCGCCTACGACCGAAACTAAAAATTTCATCGTCTTGCTCAATCTCTTTTCAAATAGCAATGAAAAAGAACAAAAATTCGTATGCCACGGGCAGGAATCGAACCTGCGTTATCCGGACCACAACCGGATGTACTACCATTATACTACCGCGGCGATAATGAGTCTCGTAAAATCCTTATTTGTATTTCAAGTAAGTCTGGGAAAAGAAAGAAGCGTATTCTTTCATTGCTTTTCATTTCTTGCCCATTGGTAACAAAATTTATTCGAGTCAACATGTATTTGTCGTACTTGTTATGTATTTATTGTTGAATGAACTATAATAATAATAGATGAGAAGAAGAAGAAAAGTGAGAAAAGGTTATCTTTGGGTGAATACACACATGTACGCGAAAAGAGAATTAAGCAGGCAATGGAATGTGAATATTTATTATGTTGAAAAGTTCTTTTTGTCGTAGAAAAAAGACTCGAGTTATACATCCACTAGATATCACTGTTCAGCAAATGAAAACTGAGCTGAGATTCAAAGATTGTCACGTGTGACCGTTCAATCCATTTTAATATTAACATAAATATAACGAATAAAACGAAGTGAAGAAAAAAAGCCAATTGTACCGAGCATCAGAAAAAAGACATAGCAAGCAATCGATGTGTAACCGAAGAATTGTAATGTTTGTAATGTGCCGCGCATTTTAGATCGATTTAAATAAAAGAATACAGCATACAAGAATACAAAGATGCCAGTCGATCTAAATTGATGGAAAGAGAAGTCAATAATCAAGATATGTATGTATAAAAAATCATACCCGGATGTCAGAATTGATTGCCACCACCATCTGTAGTCTTCTGCGGCTAATTGAAAATAAGTCAAAGCTATTGATATACACGCAGTAACGGACAAAAGAATAATGAAAACAATTGTTAATATTCCATATAGCATATAATGTTCACGGCCCCAAAATGTCGAAAATATGTAATATAGTTCTACACTAATTGCCGAGAATGGCAGGAAACCACCAATTAACATTCGTGCAAAACTGGAACGATACCAGGGTACTTGAGGAATTTCTCGTGAAATATTTTTTGTACGACATGGTGCATCAAAATTTCCTGCCCAATTCTTACCAAAAATTCCACCCAATACTGTCAAAGGAAAACCGACTGAAGAAAAGAAGTACATGTTAATAAATTGTATCGTACACAAAATGACATGTACTCACCAAAAAGCCACATGAAAGCAAGAATAAGGACGGTTGTGTATGGCAATGCTTGTGTTGTTCCATATGCCCATGCAAATGAATTTATAATACACCAGACGACAAAAAACGGTATCGTAAAAAGATTTGCCGTTAGAATAATATTCCATGTCCAATGTTCACCTTGCAATTGACGATACATTCTTCCGCTCATATAACCAGCTACACACGATGTAAATGCATACAACATAATCCCCGATGCCATTAATGAACCATGACGATGTACAGTAAACATGCCACATACGGCAAAGATAAGAATACCAGTAAAAATCGATATGAATTGACTACCAACACCGAGTATCGAGCAAAATAATTCCCGGTGAGCTGGAAAACGAAAGACATCCGTATGAATTATTTTCCAACCATTTTCTTCTTCTGGTGAGCCATCATCATCTTCATCAGTGTTTCGATTGAGATCATGTTTCAATATACGAGACTAAAATAAACGTTTCATTTATATATAATCCATATAAACAAAGCGATGAAACAAAACTAGCCTTTCGACATCAGTTCTTTTCTCAACTTACCAGAATAATAACGATAAAACCAATGAGAAGAAAGACGAGTACCATAGAATTAATCACAGATAACCAATGAATCTTTAAGTAAAATAGTTTCAAGATCAAGAAAAGAAAATCTTCATAAATAGACAAACTTCAAGTGTTTCCGGAAAGAAACCAGTATTTGTAATATATTTCGCACGATCTTTATACGATGTTCTAGGTGTAAAATACTTTTTAGAGAAAACCAAATAAACAAAAGCTTATATTTACTCAGTTTGATGCCATTTAACTGAATATGTGTACTGAATTTTCAAAGGTATTGCTAAATCCTCATCTAATGCTGTTGGTGGATGCTCCTTTGTACTGATATTCACATAAACAATCTAAATAAGGAGAAAAACTGATCGTCCTTCCAGTAAAATCGTTTGCTCCATTACTTGATTGTTATTCACATGAAAATCAAAATGATGATGCGTATAAACATAAATATGGTGTTTATGTGGGAATAGATTCGTTTCTTCAACTTGTCCAACAAAACCTCGAATGGGAATATCATCAACAACAAATTCAAAATAATAAAACTCTTCGATCGCTAATCTTAATGCATTCAATTCATCATTATTCAATGTTAATGTACATAACTGTTTATTAGATACACCCTCTGCAAAGAAGGTTATTAAAAAGAATAAGAATAAGATGATGATGATGAAATGTACAAACCATTGAATTGAATTTCATATGAAGAATGAGCCATACGATCACCTGAAAGTACTTCACCCAATGTTAATTCTTTCGATACAATCTATTGAGATATTTATTAAATCAAACTCATCTTTTTCCTATTCTTACTTTTGTTGGACGACATACAGGTAATGAATAATAATGATACGTTTCTTGAGGATTAGAATATGGACCAACCTTATTCACATATACTATTACCTAAAAAACAAGACTTACATGGAAAGTTTTATTCAAAAATAAAATGTTCACTTTATCTTTCGCGGAATATTTCTTTTCATCAGCATTGATGGTTACCAACAAACAAAGAAACAGGCAATATTTCAAGCCAAACGACACCATCTAAAATGTAATACGACATTTTAAGGTTGAAATTCTTTTAAATGATCTAGAATTGACGATACAGAGTGTACAGACACGAAAAACCTGTCGATCTTTTTACATCTTCAGCAGACTGGATCAATTTAAGACAACAATAAATATTCATTGAAAAGTTACGTTTGCATTTTTGCACACAACACTTCGATGTTAATTGGCAAAGCTAATAGCCATTCAGAATCAAACGAATAATCATAATAAATAATTTATCGTTTTATTTCAAATGCACACTTTTGAAGATGGCGCTAATCAACAATTTTTTTGAAAATGAACATATTCTTATTCAGATTGGAAAAATTGTGTTTTTTTTCTCTGTATGATTCATGATAGAAAAAATATTCTTATGAAATAGAACTGATTGGTAGTGTTTACAAATGTGTGGCGCATATATACTTTAATTAAGTTTATGAAATGTCATCGGTTTATCAAATCTATCGTTCAACAACCATCGGTTTAGCTCTTGATGAAACACTTCATGAATTTGGTCGTCGACAAATGTTTACTCCTCGGATAGTTCATTATATTCTTAATATATTTGATTATATAATCAATGAAAAATTAAGTTTTTCATCGAATCAAGACAAAAAAAGTTGTTGTCTCATATTCAAAGGTCATCTACTCTCGTACAGATCATGTGATCAAGTATGGACATTACTTTTTGATTCAATAACATTAACTTCAACGATGGATTCATCATGGAAAATCACTTTAATCGATAAAAAACAAAAAGTGAAAATAATCGCTTGTCCAACGACAAATCCACCGAATCGAAATGTTTTCTCATTTCAAATGAAACCATCCAAACGATTCAAATCGACATTGGAAATGAATCTTCACAGTTGAACATAAAAAAGCAACACAGAACATGTTGAATGTCATGTCGTGGATATATATTCATTGATTAATGTGCGTGTTAGAAAAAGAAACATGTTGTCTGAATCGGTTGATCGTGTATAAATTTAGTTTGTCTTTATCATAGATGATTGTATATTCTCTCGATTGGTTAGTCGTTATACATCGACATTGAATATTTAGATAAATGAGTCGAATGAGGCGAAGATGTCTCGAGCGAATATGTCAGTTGAGGAAAAGGAAAAACTCATTAGAGATATTTTTTCTCTTCGAGCAAAAGAAGACAAATGAGCTTTTGCCGATAATACGTTCCTTCCTATCGATGTTTTAACCAACCAAAGAGTGTCTTCATGTGTGCTCGAGAGATTAATGATTCGTTTTCTTCTCTTGTCTTGTCTCAATGATCAAACGATGCGGTTGGACAAGAACAGAAGCGAGAGAGAGAGAGAAAGAAAATGTCGCACGGCATGTTTCATTCAATTCATAACATGATAACCATCTGACGACAAAAAAAATAACAATTGATCATTTGTCTTTCTTTTTATAACTGAAGACATTATTTTTAAATTTAGAAAGTATCATCGAGTGGAGTTTCTTTATTTTGGCTCTGAAGACATTTACAAAACAACAATCATAACAGAAGTCATTCACATCAACGTTGAAAATGAGTCATGAAATGTAAATACAAGAGAAAAATTTAGGAAAAAAAATAGTCTTGTCAATTTGAATTGGAAGATTCATCGGAAAATGTTTCTTCTTTAATAAATGGCGAAAGAATTTCTTGTTGTTCTTTTTTTATTAAATTCGGAGATGAAGAGTCAGATGATGTAGATGCAGCTGGTAATTGATCAGGTAGTTTCGACTTTGTGTTCGGTAATTTATGATCTTTTTTCCATTTCATTCGACTAAAAATAAACAAAGATTTTCTTTGAAAAGAAAAACAAGTTCAACACACCGATTTTGAAACCAAATTTTAATTTGTCTAAAATAAAAAGAAATGATTTTTTAAACGAAAAAGAGATTTGTTGATGTGTGTACCTTTCAGTTAAAACCAGCGAATGTGCGATTTCTATTCTCCGTCGTCGTGTTAAATATTTATTAAAATGAAATTCTTTTTCCAATTCTATTCGAAAACCATATATATATTTTTTTTTAAATGAAAAATAAGAAATGAATTCTTTTTACCTAAAACTTGATGACGTGTGTACGCAGTTCGTGCTCGTTTAGTTTCTCCACTTGTATAATTGATAACTAAAAAAGAAATTTGATCAAACTTCTTCTATCCATCAATGAGTTCAATTGTCTGAGAAAAACAGATGAAGAGATTTTGTCATTAGTCAAATCATCATGATCTGTTTCTGTTATTTTTACTAAATTTAGGTCACGTACTCTTCCAATGATAAGAACAATGTGTGTTTTTCTCATTCACTTTTACTATCAATCATCTCGTTGTGTTTAAATCAACGCAAAAGGTTAAATTTGGTTTGAAAAAAAAAAGTCACACATTTTCAACTGAATCAAGCTGAGAGAAGAGGAAGAAGAAGAGAAAACTTTT